TATCCCAAAGGATATGATAGACTCTGATGACTCCCTATCAAAGGCCTCACCCACCCTGGGGAGCAAAAATGGTATGTGATAGGTAGGGTTTTAGTTAAGGGGAGGTGGGAGGGGAGGAGGGGAGGTAGAAGGAACTGGGATTGACACAAAAAAAACAATCTTGCTTCTAATTCAAATAAAGAATTCTGCAAAAAATTCAAATGTTACAATCTATTTCCAGTGATTTGGTTATCCTCCAAAATTCAATGGTAGGACCTGTTGGATGAGAACATCACATACTTGAGCCATAGGACATGTAGAATTCAGATGGATCCTACATGGAAACTGTATTCCTACCTGCTGGCATCCAAAGTGGATGAAAGGTTAAGGTGCAGATTTGATGAAACTGTATTTTAGGCATATAAGACATTAGAAAATAGTGAAAATATACGTACACTGCTAGATGTAGTGAATTAAATTTAAATCAGAAAGAAATATCCCTATCCTCAGTAATTGCAGACTTCCAGCTGGACATTTAAAAGCTAATTCTATAATTTCCTCTTTCTTTTCCTACCTCCAACAATATCCTGTCCCCCCAGCCTTGCTCCTTCCCAAATTCATTAGTTTATAATTATTGTTATGAAGAAATATTCATACACATATATATAAACAAAGGTACAAATATAACCCACTAAACCCACAATTGTTTAGTGTTCAGTATTGCTTGGTGTCATTGGAAAAATCTCAGCCCCAGCTCAAATTGAAAAAGAGAGAATTTATTCTGGAACCAAATTTGAGTGATCATGGCCAATGAACACAGACTTAGGTGATCCAAGATTCAATGTTCCCTTGGGGATGTAATTTCATGATGATCTCATAGTAAAATATAAAGAAAGCTGTAACTCAAATAAATTGGTAGAAACATCAGAGAAGAGGTCCCTGGCAAAATAGGAAAAGCCCAAGATAACATCTGATATTATTCCTAGCTTTTAGGTTGTTGGAAGCCAGTGCTCTGATAAGTTACTAGATTTGGTTATAAGAGACTACCTCACTTGCAGTGCTGTCCAAGAAATAGCTTTTCAGGCTTCTACAGTCAGCCTAGAATAAGGTAATGAATTTCTAGATCTGCAACCATCCAATCTTTACACACCACTGAGTTTTAAAGAGCCAGTCTCCACAAATGACTATTTCCAGGAGTTCTCATGTATGCATTTATAAAGAGGTACACTTTTATTCATATGCATTCATTTATACACATACGTAAAATTATATAGATGAATGTAATTATATACATGAATGTATTTATATGCATGTTTACATTTATATATGTATATATACACCTCTATGCATATAATTCATACGTAAAATTATGTATATATGCATTCATATGCATGTATATATATATGTAAGCATTTGTATTCATGTGTGCATTTATAGCCATATATAAATTCATAGACATGTTTACATGCATACACATATTTTATACACATATATGAATTTATGCAATGTACATATTGCTACACATCTATGTATTTATATACATACATGCATTGATACATATGTACACATATAAACACTATATACATGTCCACTTATATTGTTGAACAATTGGTATTGGATAATCCCAAGGGAAGACTAATTCTCCCTCCCTGAATGGTTGCTAATTGCCAGTGTTTGAACAACAGATGCTCTCTTAATGTGTCATCTAGCCATAGACCTCATGAAACACAGTGTAACCAAAGGCATTTCTTCCTGCTGCCCACAGGTCTCTAGGTAGAATCTCTGCTTCAACAGAACACAGTGGACTTGAGGCCCATGAGTTCTCTTATTGTCTATAGTGGGGTTAGCCAGGCTCTCATCTACTCCAGGTTTTGAAAGTACCTCCTGCTGACCCCTCCCCAACCAAAAAATGCCATGTTGAGAAAGTTGAGCCCATGCACTTTCTTCCAAAGTTTCCTTTCCTCTCATTTTTAGCACTCTTTTACTGCCTCATGGATTCAGGAGACTCTCCTCTTTATGTGTTCTGTTTTTACTTACTTTGATTCTTTCACTGTATTACACAGGAAACTCTGCTCACTCATTTAAACTGTAATCTTGAAATAAAAGATCTTCTTTTTGTTTACTATTTTTTAAATTTTATTAAAGATTTTTTTAAATTTTATATCTTTAATTACTTTGCCAATATGTCTCTGTGCCTGGTACCTGCAGAGGCCAAAGGAGGATGTGTGTTCCCCCTAAACTGTGCTGCACACTATAGTAACACAAAGAGAGGCTGCTGTGACCTGAATCAGAATATGACACAAGAGCTGCAAGTAGGCTTAACTTCTCAGTCATTTCTCAAGTCACAGAAACACTTTTCAAAATGGTTTATTTATTTTATGTCATGTGTTTGAGTGCTTACCTTCCTCTATAAGTGTGTTGGCCACATTTGTACCTGGTGCCCACATACTTTAGAAGAGGATTTTTTGCCTAAACCTACAAAGGGTTCTGAGTCTCCAAGTACGCACTGGGAATTGATCCCATAGATTTTTACAAAAGGAATCAGAGTCCCTAGCTGCTTAGCCATCTGTCCATCTCACATAGATAAACATTAACACTCGGTGATAGGAAATTAATTAATTGTATTAGACAATTAAATTTGAGTATATACGAACACCTGATTTTGACAAAGATTCCAAATATATACGCTGGAACAAAGAGAACATCTTCAACAAATGGTGCTGGCATAACTGGATGCAAACATGTAGAAGACTAGAGGTAGACCCAAGCCATTCACTCTGTACAAACTTAAGTCAAAGTGGATCATAGATCGACACATAAACCTAGCCACGCTGAATCTATTAGAAGAAAAAGTATGAAATACCTTGAATTAATTGTTACAGGACACTTGAATTAATTGGTACAGGACACTTCTTGGACATTACACCTGTAGCACAGACACTGAGGTCAACAATTAATAAACGGGACCTCCTGAAACTGAGAAGCTTCTGTAAGGCAAAGGACATAGTCAGCAAAACAACATGGCAGCTCTCAGACTGGGAAAAGATATTCAGCAACCCCACATCTGAAAGAGGGCCGATATCCAAAATATACAAAGAACTCAAGAAGCTAGAAGCTAGGGTCCAACACTCCAAATAATCCAATTAAAAATTGGGGTACAGAAATATACAATTCTCAATAGAGGAATCTAAAATGGCTGAAAAACACATAAGAAAGTGTTCAACATCCTTAGCCATTAGGGAAATGCAAATCAAATAAACTCTGAGATGCCATCTTACTCCTGTCAGAATGGCTAAAATAAAAATACCAATGACAGTTTATTTTGGAGAGGATGTAGAGAAAGGAGGACACTTCTCCACTGGTGGTGGGTTGTCAACTTGTACAGCCACTTTGGAAATCAGTATGTCAGCTCCTCAAGAAAATGGAAATCAGTCTACCATAAGATCCAGCAATTCCACTCCTAGGCATATACACAAAAGAAGCACATTCATACAACAAGGATATCTGTTCAACGATGTTCATAGCAACACTATTTGTAATACCCAGAAACTGGAAGCAGCCTAGACGCCCCTCAACTGAAAAATGGTTAGAGAATATGTGGTGCATTTACACAATGGAGTACTACTCAGCAGTAAGAAGTGATGGAATCCTGAACTTGGCAGGAAAATGGATGGAACTCTAAGAAACCATTCTGAGCGAGGTAACCCAGTCACAAAAAGACAAACATGATATGTGTTCACTCATATGTGGATTTTAGACATGGAGTCAACGATTGCCAGCCTACAATCCACACTGCCAGAGAAACTAGTAAAGAGGGAGGACCCTAAAAGAGACAAACTCTGTACCCTAGTGAAGGACAAAGGGTCACCATCCCCTGAGCAAATTGAGAACATGGGAAGAGAGGGGGGCGGGAGCTATGAGAATGAGAAGGGAAGAAAAGGAAGGAAGCAGAGGTCATGAGGGAGCAGAAATGTTGAGTCAGGTGTAGATTAGAAGAAAGGATAGGTAGTGTTTTTAGCTGTGGGGGAAGTGTTAGGGGAGGAAAAGAGGGACAAGGAAACTGGGATTGTCATGTAATTCAATCTTGTTTGTAATTCCAATATAAAATAGAATTTGAGTATAAGATCGTTTCAGTACAAAATAAAAGTTTATGAAGTTCTTCTTCACATTCTAGAGAAAATATAATTGACTCTTCCTTATCTCAGTGTTTGATGAATAAACATGTACCGTAAGCACCATATGCACCATGTATTCAGCAACCATAGCACACAGACACCTGACACTTCAATCCATACTATGCACTTCCAGAAACCAATACTGAAGTATAAGTCAAACTCTGAGAGTACCTGAGCCATTCCATGATGTTCCTTAGCAGCCAGGGGCTCACTCACACTAGTCTTACATGTCAGTAAAGAGGTCAGGGCTTCAAATCCTCTAATATCCCAAATTTGTTACGAGTTGATGGTCATAATACCCTAAATGTGCTCATCATTCTGCCCCTCCAATTTAGGGGGAAATGGAAAAACTACCAATATTTGCTGACTTTATACTTTGCCATTGAAGAGATCAATAAGGATGCCCACCTGCTTCCCAATGTAACCTTGGGATTCCACCTCTACAATGCCTTTCACTCTCACCGAAGAACTTTAGAGGGCCCTCTGATGTGGTTGTCTGAAAGGCGTGAGTTTATTCCTAACTACAAATGCAAAACTCAACACAAAGCGCTTGGAATCATTGCGGGAATCAGGCCTGAATTTTCTGCTGCAATTGGAACTCTTTTGGAACTCTACAAAATTCCACAAGTAAGTTTGTAAAATTTGATATCCACAGTCATGTAGGATACAAAACAAAAGAAAACTGAGTTACTTGTTTATTGCCTTTGATTTAAAATAGAAGTGAATGAATTATCTGGATCCTGCTATGATCAGTGGTGTAATGAATGTAGTGAAAACATAAGCAGTAAAAACTTGGTTTCCTAAGGAGATCACTTAGTAGTATTCATGATTCTATCTTCAATCTTTGGCAAGATGTACCACGAGGCTTCATAGATAAGTGCTGCTCACTAGTCATATAACTAACTACACAAGATAGGGTATAAAATCTCATAGTTCATCCAGTATTCAACATTGGACAGAGAGGAAGAGAGAACCCAGGACATATAAATTAATTTGGAACAATCCTCAAGGGCATCTCTACTGAAAAATTTTGCAAAGAAATTATGATCTGTCAGAAGAGCAGATCTCTGAGTAGCACTCACAGAGAACATCCACTTAGAGATAACCCCACAATAGGCTCTAACAAAGCACTATTGAGGCAAACCAACCATCTGCAAGCATCACTACAAACTGAGAAAGCATTAGGGTAGACCCCATGCTTGGTAATTAATCAAGATTAGAAAAACAGATAGTGCAACACTGATTACTGTCACTCAGTAAAACAATTCATATATATTGCATCCTAAATTAAGAAATCATGATATACATGATTATTTCTGTCTTTCTCACAGACTCTCATTTTACACTAGTTGCTGGGTGATGACTTCATTAAATCTATCATTAGGGAAGGATGAGGCAACAATTATTGGTGATGTGCCCCCAGATCCTCATTCCTTTTCTTTTCCATTTTCCCTCCATTTTAATTTAAATTAGAAGGATTGTTTTACATGTCAATGCCAGTTCCCAATGCCTCCTTGCCTCACCTGCCCCCCACTAACACCCTACCTATCCCATACTATTTCTGCTCCCCAGGGAGAGTGAGTTATTCTATTGGGGTTGTCTTCAGTCTGTCATATCTTTTGGGAAAGAGCATAGGTTCTCCTCCATGGGTCTAAGTTGAGGGAGTATCCCTCTATGTGAAATGGGCTCCCAGAGTTCATTCCGATGCTAGGAATAAGTACTACTGAACTACTCCAAGAGGCCCCATAGATTTCCAAGGCCTCCTAACTGACACCCACATTCTTGGGGTCTGCATCAGTTCCATGCTGGTGTCCCAGTGATCTGTCTGGGGTCCATGTGCTCCCCCTTGTTCAGGCCAGATGTTTATGTGGGATTCACCAGCCAAGCCCAACCCCTTTGATCTTCTTTCCCCCCCTATCTGTAACTGCATTCCAGAGCTCAGTTCAGTGTATAGATATGGGTGCCTGCCTCTGATTCCATCAGCCACTGGATGAGGACTCTAGGATGGCATATAAAGTAGTCATCAGTATAATTATAGGGGAAGGGTAGGGTAGCCTCTCCACCATTGCCTAGACTGTCAGTTGGTATCATGCTTGTAGATCTCTGGAAATCTCCCTAGTGCCAGATCTCTCCTCAGACCTATAATGGCTCCCTCTGTTATGATATCTCTCATCCTGCTCTCCTCTATCATTCCCCCTACTCAAACTTTCAGCTTCTCCATTTCCTCCTATCCCCTCCTCTTCGCCTCCTCACATTATGGCAGCTGATTACTACTCCATTGTATAAATGCACCACATTTTCTCTATCCATTCTTCAGATGAGGGGCATCTAGGTGGCTTTCAGGTTCTGCTATTACAAACAAGGCTGCTATGAACACGGTTGAACATATGTCCTTGTTGTATAAACACACATAATTTGGGTATATGGCCAAGAGAGGAATTCCTGAATCTTGAGATAGACTGATTGCCATTTTCCTGAGCAACCACCATAATTATTTCCAAGGTGGTCTTATAAGTTTGCACTCCCACCAGCAATGGAGGAGTGTTCCTTTATCTCTTCATCCTCTCCAACATAGATTGTCATTGGTGTTTTTGATTTTAACCATTCTGGCCAGTGTAAGATTGTATCTCAGAATTGTTTTGAGTTGCAATTCTCTGATGGCTAAGGATTTTGAGCACTTTCTTAAATGTTTTTCAGCCATTTTAGATTCCTCTGTTGAGAATTATATATTTAGTTCTCTGCCCCACTTTTTAATTTCATTGATTGGTGTTATGGTCTCTAGCTTGTTGAGTTGATTGTATATTTTGGAAATCAGGCCTCTGTCAGATGTGGGGTTGGTGAAGATCTTTTCCCATTCTGGGGGCTGTCGTTTTGCCTTCCTGACTGTGTCCTTTGCCTTACAGAAGCTTCTCAATTTCAGGAGGTCCAGTTTATTAATGGTAGATCTCAATGTCTGTGCTACTGTTGTTACAGTCAGGAAGCAGTTTCTTGTACCAATTCGTTCAAGGGTATCTACACTTTCTCTTCCAAGAGGTTCAGTGTGGCTGGATTTTTGTTGAGGTCTTTCATCCATTGAGACTTAAGTCTTGTGCATGGCGACAGACATGGATCTTTCCGAAGTCTTCTACATGCCAGAATACAGTTATGACAGCAACATTTGTTGAAGATGCTCACCTTTTTCCATTGTATATCTTTATCTTCTTTGTCAAAAATCAGGTGTTTGTAGGTATGTGGGTTAGTATCAGGGTTTTCAACCCAATTCCATTGGTCTACCTACCTCTTTTTGTGCCAATATCAAGCTGTTTACAGGACAAAATCTCTATATAGAGCTTGAAATCAGGGATGGTGATGCCTCAGGAATTTCCCCTATTTTACAGGTTGTTTTGGCTGTCATGTGTCTTTTGTTTCTCCATATAATGTTGAGTATTTTTCTTTCAAGGTCTGTGAAGAATTGTGCTGGAATTTTGGATTGTGTTGAATCTGTAGATTGCTTTTGGCAAGATTGCCATTTTTACTATGTTGATCCTACCTATCCAAGATCATGGGAGATCTTTCCATTTACTGGTATCTTTGTTAATTTCTTTCTTTAAAGAGTCAGAGGGAGATGTTTCTCTGATTTCTTTCTCAGCCCTCTTATTGTCTATAGTAGTAAGGCTACTATTTATCTTCTCAAAGAACCAACTCTTTATTTCATTGATTCTTTGTAATGTTTTCCTAGTT